TAGTTGAACAGTTCTATTAGCATGGCTTAATTTCTGCTTTAAACTAGTCTTAGCATCTTTTTTGTAACGAAAATATTTATATTAATATTGGCTTTAGAAACATACGTTTAGATCAAACATGTGTCTATCTCTCTTGTACAAGGATTACAGACAGACGAGACTTTATTAAAATAAACTTCGTTGAATTTTATGTTCTTGTGATACCTACGATTATACTGCATCCAATTGACTTCTCTAACGACTTGAATGATAGCTCGCGTTTAAGTCAAATGATCGATTTGGCGGTAGGTTATATTATTTTGAATTATATATTATGTACTAGCATTGCCCGCGGCTCCGCCCGCGTTCAGATGACCAAAAACCAAATTCTTAGGTTTTACATATTAGTTTACTCTTACATTGCAGTTTTTGTATTTTTTTTTGCAGTTTTTGTATTTCAAAAATGAAATATTTTCCCGCGGTAAATAGTATCCTATATATTGACCTGGATAACCAGCTACTATCATACAAAATTTCATCAAAATCTGTCCTGTGAGTTTGTCGTGATGCGGTAACAGACAGACAGACAAAAATTCTAAAAACTATAGATTTGGACTCTGTATCGATAATAATGTCTATTTCTATTAGATTTTCCAAAAAATATTTAATGTACAGATTCGACTTAGTTACAATTTTATTATATGTATAGATTAAATATAAATAAATGAAAATGTAAATATAAGGACATAAAGTCCATCTGATCAGATTCAGGGTTTCCAAAATATGCTCTAACAAATCATAATAAAAGCCAACATAATTTGTCAATGATAGTCCACTAAATTAGGCAAGTCTAAGGGAGGATAAAGCAAAAGTGCATATTCTAGTCTAATGCATTGCACTTAAGGTAAAAATTCCATAGGAATGGTTCCGAATGCTTTACACTTTACAGCAATCGTTGTCGTATGGTCGTTATTGCATAGTAGTTATCTAGACAGTGCCCACCCACAAAATTACAACATGATTTCAAAAATACAAAAAAAGCACCGAAGTTCAATCTTTCAATATTTGTTAATTTTAATTCTTTTTTATTATTTTCTATAGTTGTAATAAGTTTTATAGTTGTGTATTAAAATATTATTTATTTAGTTTTAGCTGCTATTATCTATACTATAATAAAACAGTAGAGGTCGAATGTCTGTACATAGCAAAAAAATGCTAAAAACCGAGTCAGGGGGATGTAAGAAGACAAATAGAACAAATCCAATTTTTTTTCAAATTTTTTGTTTCTCTGTTTGTACGGGCTAATATCCGAATCTATTGGACCGATTTAAGTGAAATTTTGCATGGTCGTACCTTTTATTTCCGGGCAACATCTTAGATACTTTTTATCCCGGAAAATTAAATAGTTCCCGTGGGATAGTTAAAAAACTATAATAACTTATACAACTTATGCACCTAATTTAATAAAATTTAACATTCTGAGACCTTATATTGCCGGTCAAACAACAGGTTACTTTTCATCTGGAAAAAATGAACGGTTCCCGTGGGAATGAATAGATCTCTATTAGTGTTTTTAAAAAACTTTATGAATTAGTAATCTTACTATGGTTACTATTATTGTATTTATAAACATAAAGAAAATTAAAATATTATATATATATATATATATATATATATATATATATATATATATATATGTATATTATAATTTATACTATTAAGTAGTAAAAATTAAAATATTATGTGTAATTTAAAAGTAAAAAATTAAGAATAATAATTTTATTTCAGTTTACCATTATTTAAAATTAAAATATTCAGCAACACTATTTCCACATTTATAAATCTAAAACATTAATATGAATTACTATTATTTTGATTTTCTTGGTCAGTTCATAAAATGTTCGCATATTTTATAGTGCAGATAATAAATCTAAATTAAGAACATTTCTAAGTTTGATTTTTATCAAATGAGTAGTTTTAAATGCTCGAGCTTCCTGATCTACGCTCACTATATAAAGCAGAGATCAAACATGTAGTAGTTGCAGCTTAAATGAAAATACAAATCCGAGCGAAATCGTAGGATGTAACTTGTATATAAAATAAAATAATTGATTCAATTGCCGTCTAGACAAAATTATAAACCTAAGTAATCCTTTTCCACGTCCTTTGAATTTCGCGTTCAATACCGATTCATTTTACTCCTATTCAAATAGCAAATTTGCGTGGCGCGCTTTGATATGAAATATTATGTCGATTGTCGTTTTATTCTGTTACGTGATTTCCGAACAGTTATGCTTGTTATCTTGTCGATGTGTTCACTTTGTTTGTTTTCTGGTGTTGGTCTTGTTTCGAGCTGAAGGTAAAACAGGATTTCTACATTCTTATTGCTTTAATTAAATGTTCTTGCCCGCCATCATAACTGTATATCGAAGATATATTTTCATTACGGACTTATTAATTAAACAAGCAAAATGGTAATAGTTTAGAATAAATAAAATATAATTATTTCTATTGTCACTATATCATCAGTACGACAGATGTGAAACCCAGTCATTTCCTTTAAAAGCTAATATCTCTTTGTTATTATTAATGACGGTCCCCTGGTGACGTTCCCTTCGGAAATATTTACAAAGGAATTCTTTAATCTGCCGCGCAAATGTTCTGCCTATAGTATCTAAATCAATATAAATGAAAATTACGGAAACTTAATATAAATCGCATAATCTAGTGTGGTGTAGGGGACATTTTGGGACGAATCTGAACCGGGGATGAGGTGAGGGCGGGCTGCAACGCGGGAGGGTCGGAGACGGTCTGGCCCAGGCCGGCCATCTGCTGCGCGGATAATCGATATTATTTAGGAAGCTTCCTATATTTTGTCAATGTTTTTTAATTTTTGGAGATCTTCCATTGTTATTTAAAATATTATGACTCAGCATTGTTATTAGTATCTAGATTTAATTTGAGTTTTAATTTGTTTTATAAAATTTTTTAGGTACATTTAAATAAAAAAATATAAAATAAAAAATGAAATAAATTAATTGTTTACGTTAAATAAAATGATGTATTTTATGAATTTTGTTAGACTTTTGGATTGATGTTACGAGGGATGTTATATAGTATTCGTAAATAATTCCAATAACTCTGCGGGTTACCTGATCCTCGTAAATTTCTTTGATTAACTCCTGGTAGTGAGTTGAATCGTGACTTGTTGGCGAATTGCCCGTCTTATTTTTTCATACATTATGTTATTGATTAGCGTACATTTTATTACCATTTCTTCATAAGTAACAACTAAGGTTAGCAAACTCAAAATAAGAGACACGAGATAAGTACGGAGTGTTGCCATTTAACATTTTAAAGAGTCATGCTAAATATATATAAAAAAATGAAACTGCTCAATTATAACTTCCGTAGCACTATATTTTGACGGTTAATATAAAATTAACATAATTAGCTCGTTAAAGGAAGGCGAAAAATTACTTAAAATAATTTTGTATATTCCTAGGTATGATAAGATGACTAATGTTAAATATTTAATATATTTTATTGAAGTAATTAATGTTGTTTTTTTGTGGTCGCATCCTGCATTTACAGTGGGAATAAAAATATATATAGAGCTTTATAGAGCCCAATGTATCTCTAAAGCGTAATATCTGCAGAAGACGGAATTGGCAACGAATGTGATGATTTATTATGATTTATGAGACACATTGCAATCGCATTTAAAACTTTTCGTTGCAGCTTTTCATTCTCTTTAAATTTTATTCTTTAAATTTCAGGATAAATACATGATTTATATAATGCCTAGCGATCATTTTGTTCATTTTGAATTACAATGCATTACCTAATACAATCTTCCCATCGTTAACTTCTTCATTTTCTACTTTTATTCATACTATATACATTAGACAGAATGCTGGTTCTTTTCGTCATATTGGATACTAAAAACTAAATTCTTAGGTTTTACATATTAGTATATATAGTACTCTTACATTGCAGTTTTTGTATTTTTTCTCAGAAATGAGATAGTTTCCCCACGGTAAAAAGTATCCTATATGTTGACCCGGATAACAATCTATCATTATACTAAATTTCATCATTTTTTTTCTCGTGATGCGATAACAGACAGACAGACAGACAGACAAAAATTCTAAAAACTATAGATTCAGCCTCTGTATCGATAATAATGTCTATTTCAATAAGATTTTCCAAAATAAATTTAATGTACAGATTCGGCTTAGTTACAATTTTAATATATGTATGGATTACTGTGACGACTTGTAGTCACATATTTTGGATGAATTGAGAAGTATTTTAAAACCACGCACATAAATGTCACGCCAGCTTATTACTTGTAGCTAGATCGCGTTGAATAGAGTTTCAACTACAATTTGCACTACATACATACATATTATGTATGTAATGTAGTAAGTAGTATATACGTCGAGCACGTGTAGGTAAGTGACGTCACCACATTCAATATCGAGTTATATTTGTCATATCTCCTGTTTTTATTGAATCATATATAGGTAAATATATAAAAGGATATAAAGTGATAGGTATCATCAGTAAAGTATTTTGTCGCAATGAACAGTTTAATGAAAATAATGCTCATGCGAATAGTTTGATAAACAGTCATTATACGTGCATTTATAAAATATCAGAATAAAATATTTATATAGTATAATAGTATAATATTTATAATAATAAAACTTAAATAAAAATAAAAAAAATCTTGATAAGAAATATATAATCATTTTATAAAAATTAAAACCAGATTCAGTAATATTAAATTATTTATTATTCTTATAATCGTGTTTTTAGAATTAGGATTCATCATTATTAGGTTTCATTTTTTGTATTCATTATACAAAATTTTTATATTATCTTTTTTGTTGTTTAAATTAATCGCGTTCGTGAAAGAATGGTGTTGACGTCATTACTGGTCGATAGTTTTTTGGAATATTGATTCGTAGTAGGTACTGCAATTAGGCGCGTACTTCCCCAAGTCGGACAGTGAGATGAGTGAATCATGCGCAGGCGCGGGTGGCGCGGCGGAGCGTATCCTGCGCGGGCGCACGTCGCGATCGCAGCTCGCCGCGCGCCACATTCCATGCGATCGTTGCCTCCACACATTCGCAACTGCTCTGATGCAATATTCAACTTTACTTCGTCCTTGCAATGCCGTAATTCGTTATTACAGGTATAAGTGTCTCATCTTTATCTTTTTCTTTGCTACAAGCTCTACATTGCCGGTCTCAAGGCCATTTTGGCGCCCTTAATTACGTTAAGTCTGCATATGACAGATGATGCTATTAAATAGGTAGGAGATGTGCAGAGAGAACGTGTTAAAAATTCACTTTGGTGGGGTGAAAGTACAACGTGTTTAATGTAATGAAGGCTAAAACTAAAATTCTTTATCTTTAGTGGAGCATGTTAACGTTATACAAATAAAGTAAGTAGCGAGTGTATGTCACGTTGAGTGGCAAATTGGCGTCGTCTCCGCATTTGTTCCACGCCGTCGGCCGCCGGTCATCAGTCGCCGATCGCGCCACATTCAACCTTGTGATTGCTTACTTACCACTGTCTATGTCAATGCCGTTCATTCCCCGGAATCGGGTGACGCGATGATTCAAATTATAGTGCAATTAGGTGATCAATAGGAAGCGTCAAATTTATGGTTAATAAATAATAAAAATATTAATCATGTGATTTTTTTTGCTCTTCGTCTACACATTTTTACATAATATATGACAGACATATATGTATAATGATTGTTAAGAATTTAATTGATCTATTTGCTTAATAAATTATGTAATTGATATATTTATCCATTTTCATTAATACATGAAATTTCGATTATGCATATGTTTAATAAAAAAAATTCATAAAAAGAGAATACCTACTATGCAAATAACTTTTTCGTCTTACGATGTGTGACTAGGACAAAGTACAAACAATGATGACAAACAGTTTATTTTTTTTGTTTATATAAATGTCCAATATCCAAAAACATCGACAGTTCAAAACGGCTCTAAATAAAATCTTATTTTCGTAGACTCACTTCTCACTTATGACAATGACAAATCAACAAACGGTCAAGTAATAAAATCAAATATGCCGATTTGTGCTGTTATGTTAAAGTGTGTCACAAATATGTGAAAAACTATTGTAACAACAGCATTAGTGACGTATTGAATGACGTAGCAACTTTAGTTTTATTTTACATTTTTAGTTTCACATTTTCTTTAGACCCTGTTTCGGTAAATCTTTGGAAAGACATTTAATTCTAGCATATAGAAGACACAAAAAAGCTCTGATAGCTTAAACAATTATTACAGATAGCACATTACCATATTATTACAATATTATTTGATTTAAACAAGTACCTAAATATTCAAAGTTAAAATATGCGAGTGAATGAGAGACCAATTATAATGAACATTTTATTTACATATGTTAAATAGAAAAAAATATATTTAAAAGGGAAATTATATTTTAATTATTGAAAAGGCAATAAAACAGACATAAAAATAATTTTAATGATAAAAACAGCATGCAACATTTGAATGCCCCTTGCATTTGATAGTGTTAGATACTTTTATGCTAAACTAATGGTCACGATCAAGATCACGTTTTGTCATCTGTAAAAAATCTGTTATGTTGCATAGTAATTGGCTGTAGACGTCTCGATAACCGATAACCCCCTACGTGACCGTATGTACCCGCCCGATAGCTTGGTTTAGAGTTGCCGTTACTTGTAAAATTGCTTATACAGTCCTCCTTTCAGTCCTCTTTCCAGTTCCACTCTTTAAACATCTCATGACTAACTTTAGATAGTTTACTTAATTATTTTTTTAAAGCAATATTTGTATGTTACTGATATAATAAATCTTAAAGGACGCGTTATGTTGTTATTAATGTAGGCAATTATACATATATAAGTACTATTTTGGCTATAAATTTCAATGTGTTTGATAAATGTCCCTTCCTTTTTTTTTTTAATCTAGACGATGATGATTGTTGTTAGATTATGGAAGAATAGAGATTACATATACTTATATAATAATATATTCGAGTTCTATATGTGCAATAAGCGAGACACAACATAAAAATATACTTGTTCGAAGCACTAAAGTGCTTACAAAGATTTCTTTAAGCTAATTTTGCAAAAAATGGCAGGATGCAAAGTCAGAGGCGTGTCGATTAGCGCGGCGGCAGCGGAGGGCGGCGGGGTGTGGCCGGTGAGGGACGCGGGCACCGGGCGAGGCTGCTGCGAGTGTCCGCCGCTGTCGGCCGGACTAACCCGTCCCTTCAGGTCAGCGCTCCAGCCGGCTATTTATAGAGGTGCCCCTTAAACAGAGTAATTATTCATTGATTAGCACTGCGAGGAATAGAGGATTGCGTTTGTGATAGCCATCGCGCAAACGAGAATCGTAGCTGGCGCCGTGAGTCCTCGCGCCCGCCCGCTACGCCATGTTCCCTGCGTGCACTACAAAAACACTGGAAGAAATGCCTTCAAAGATCTGAGTGAAAGCAGAGAGTGGAAGCAGAAATTATTTTAAACCATCCAATAGCAAATCTAAACTTTACATCACAATCTATTTGTTTATTATTTATTTATACATAATTTTCATATGCAAGTTGCAATTGTTTGTCAATTAAATAGCTAAAACATATATTTTTATCGATTACGAGTATAAATCCTGACGCTATAATGCTACGAGATGAGAATGAGACGAGGTAAATTGGCAAGAACGTAAGAAATACAAAACAATCAAAATTAAAAATATGAAAATAGTTCTGCGATAATTTTCTAATCTCAGAATATCAATGTTAAAAGTACACGTTCAAATTTTTATGAAATGAAACAAAAAATAAATTTTCTAAATTGTAACTAAGCCGAATCTGTACATTAAATATTTTTTGGAAAATCTTATTGAAATAAACGTTATCATCGATACAGAGGCCGAATCTATAGTTTTTAGAATTCTTGTCTGTCTGTCTGTTACCGCATCACAGAAAAACCACTGGAGGGATTTTGATGAAATTTGGTATGGTGATAGCTGGTTATTCGGGTAAACATGTAGGATAATTTTTATCGCGGGAAAATATCTTAGTTCTGAGAAAAAATACAAAAACTGCAATGTAAGAGTATACTAATATGTAAAACCTAAGAATTTGGTTTTTGATCATCTGAACGCGGGCGGAGCCGCGGGCAATGCTAGTCTTATATAATAATGTTCTATAAAAGTATTAAATGATTTGTGTAAGGCTGCTACGAGTATATCTTTTGTGTAAGCTTTTAACTTCTATGGTACATTGTACCATATAAAAAAATCAATAAAATTAGTAAAAAAATTGCGTCAAACTAGGTATATTATATATGAATATACGTAACGATATTATATTCATACGAAAACGTAGAGGAATTCAGAAACTAAATGACTCATTATGTACGCGTATTCTACCATGATACATGTATATTGGAAAGATTACTATGTGTTTAATTATGATAGCATGAGAATTCTTAAATACGTGAATATTTAATTTATTGCTTATGGTCCGGAAATTAAAATGGCCCGTTATATGTGTAATGGCTGATGGAATAATAAATTATATATAAAATTTAAAAATATGTGTAACAGTAGTTTACAACATTTCCATTGGTATGTTTCATTTTTTTAGACGTTTTTTATAGTAGATTAACTGAAGTAAACTTTTTTGCTATATGTTCATAAATCTAATATAATTTTACCAGATGATACCCAGACCTGACCGGTTTTTATCTGGAAATTCGTAGAAGGGTGAACAGGATCTAAAGACTTGATCCTTTTTACAGTACAGTATCATCTTTTAATCACGTTCGGGAAAGTTGACTAATACTTATAAAATGCTACCTTAGTGTATTTTTTTCTTTTTTGATGTTTGTGAGTTAGAATATACTTAAACAAAATTATATTTCAATAGTTCGTCTCAATATTAAAAAATTTATATAATATGAATAAATTGATGTAATCTAAATATTAAGCTTAGTTATTAAATTGATATTAATAGATGGTTAATCGAGTTGGCGGGTTATAGGTTTTCCGTGGCCCGGGTGTACGCGTTCTGGGGTGGACAAAATCAATAGTCCGTACCTACGAATAGCTACCACTACATTCACGGAATCTGCACACATCGCGATTCTTTATTTGCCTTATATCCGATCTCTTTCGCCCAAAGTTATTGTCTATTGAGCAGGTGCTTTTTTCAACGAAATTTAAGAATCTCCTTACAAGAATATTGAGGGGTGAAAATCGCATTTTTTATACAGTTTTTTGCTTTGTTTCAAGAAAAACTGTGTTGACGTTGGGGTTGTATTTATTAATGATGATATATTGTTTGAGTTTAGGAGGGAGTGGATAAATTATAAATTTATATTTACATTGTACACATTCAGCAAATAAAAAACGCTTTTACGATATACCAAGAACTTTGAAGTCTCTTCTAATATTTCAAAATATATAAGTATACATATGTATAAGATTCATAAATAGATAAAAAACTAAACTGCTAGGACCTGCAGAGTACCATGTACTATGTAAAATCAAAGGCAAATTGCAAAATCCCAGAATGACACTTCAATTTTATGTATAAGATTGACTAATAACGCAATGAATAGCGTCACTGAAATTTGTTTATTTTTATGCGTTTGTTTATCCTTAATAATATACTAGCGACTCACCCTCGCTTCGCTCGGGTTCGTCCCAACTTACGTTTTAATGTTTATATAGATTTCTCAGGTATGAGTTATTTCCCCGTAGTAAAAAGTATCCTATATGTTGACCCGGATAATCAATCATCAGATCCGGACAATCAAAATCCCTCCAGTGGTTTTCCGTGATGCGGTAACAGACAAACAGACAGATAGACAAAAATTCTATAATAAGTTTTAAACTATATATTCGGCCTCTGTATCGATAATAAATAATAATGTCTATTTCAATAACATTTTCCAAAAAATATTTAATGTACAGCTTCGGATTAGTAACAATTTTATTATATGTAGAGATTTATGAATATTGAATATATAATCAGTTCAATTGATGCCGATGCTTATACAAAAAGATAATAAAATATATGCAACGTAGTGCTGCGACAAAATAATCGGATACTTAAATGGATATCTATCAATCATATTTCTGCTACAGTTAGACTAAAAAATAGTGTCACACTGCGGATGTCAAGAAAATACCTTAATAATAAATTAGCATAGTAATGCTTAAAGCCGTTATATTAAAATTGAGTCCACTCTCATTAATGTAAACAACTATTAATTGAGTGAACCCAAAATTTTGGGTTCCGTATAATAATTGTAATTGTTAATTTATTGCTATTAAGTTTTAAATTATTAATAAGTTTTAAAATATATATTATTTTATTTAGTTTGCTACCTTCAAATGTCATCTTTATTTCACTTCATAGAATGCTAGTAATAACGTTGAATCTGCACTACTGATAGATTTATGATATGCATATAAATGCTTTACTGTTGGTTGACTAGTTCATACACATGAAGCATACAAGTACGTGATGACGTTCTTATGAACCAATGAGGAAAGTACTTTAGGCACAGATTGAATGCTGAGGAAAAGTTATTCCATGATTCTTTAATATGTTGATAAACGGTTGCCGCGAAGGTCCATAAAAAACAAACAAAGGCCTTTTAACTTCTGCAGTACCTAATTTGCCTCAAAAATACTTATATACCTTGTACCTTTGTACCTTTACCTAATTTGACGTTCGAAGGTTTTCGGAGTTGGTAGTCCTCTATACTAGTAAGGTCAAAACCTTTTAATAATTTTTGTCAAATGGTTTTTTTAATAAGTTCAAATATTTTAAGAAAAAACTATTTCTAAACACATTCAAGAGGTAAATGGAAAAATATCTTTTATCTCTTACGAGTTATTTAGGGAAGTACAATAATTTCATTACATTTATCTTAATATATATTTTATTAGAAGATTTAATGAGTTTTGGATTACTGAAAAAAAATTACACTTAGTAAAAAATTTACATAATACTTGAACATATGTATAAATAAGACGGCATCTATAGCGGAAGCAACAATCCGTTCAGACTCGTTCGCGAGGCAGTCTAAAAATGTGGCGCCTGCCCGAGTCACTGGCCTGAGTTGACCACGTCAAGTCATAAACATTCAAAAAAATAATTAAAATATTCACAGTATGAAGTACTATTAATTTTATCGAGTACTTAATTGAAGATTGCCACATATTTATTACTGAAAACGAACTAATTGATTAGTCTGAACGGTTACGTTGGAAGTCAAAATATATTTTTGGTATTAAAACTGGATTGGATGCAATTTATTTTCTGGCATCATGAAGATTTGCATGACGAATGGCTTTGTATAATAATTCATGGCAATATTCTTTTAATAAAAATAATGTGCCATTTAAGTTCATTAAAATCTATGCATATAATAAAATTGTAACTAAGTGGAATCTGTACATTAAATATTTTGTGGGAAATCTTATTGAAATAGACATTATTATCGATACAGAGTCCGAATCTATAGTTTTTAGGATTTTTGTCTGTCTGACTGTCTGTTACCGCATCACGAGAAAACCACTAGACAGATTTTGATGAAATTTGGTAACTGCTTATCCGGGTCAACATATAAGATACTTTTTACCGCGGGAAAATATCTCATTTCTGAGAAAAAATACAAAAACTGAATTGTAAGAGTTCTTACTTTGTTTTAACACGAATAAAGGCTGCTCATTATTTTTGAAAGGGTGTAAAATATTGTTACTTTGTTGCATAAAAAATATTTGTGTATTGTATTGTATGTAATTAATATTTATATTAATCAATCTATACATATAATAAAATTGTAACTAAGTCGAATCTGTACATTAAATATTTTTTGGAAAATCTAATTGAAATAAACATTATTATCGATACAGAGGCCAATAACTACATTTTTTAGAATTTTTGTCTGTCTGTCTGTTACCGTATCACGGAAAACCCACTGGAGGGATTTTCATGAAATTTGGTATAGTGATAGCTGGTTATCTGGGTCAACGTAAAGGATACTTTTTACCGCGGGAAAATATCTAATTTCTGAGAAAAAATATAAAAACTGCATTGTAAGAGTATACTAATATGTAAAACCTAAGAATTTGGTTTTTGGTCATCTGAACGCGGGCGAAGCCGCCGGCAATGCTGTAATATTAATAATTTTATTTTTTAATTTTCATCCTTTAATTAAAGCTCACACAATAAAAAGCTTACCTAGGTTTGATAATTATTCATCCATGGTTTGATAAGTGGTAATTAAATAATACACTACCATCACTGTCAACTGTCGCGTTCTGTCACATGCAAATTGTTATTTGGCTAATTAAATTTAGGTTCGCCAATGTATGTACGCAACGGCCGTGATTGATGGGTGAGCTTCGCCGATATAGTGATAAATTACATGATTTCCTTTACACTAATAACTATAATCCAATATGGAATTGATCTAATGAATAGTTATTTATTTAAAACTACCGATTTACTCTCGCTTCAGTCGAATATATCCCAGCAGTGCCAAACAGCTGCCTATGTGTTACACCATGTCGCAGTCTATCTGCATTCTAAATTTCATCCAAATCCGTTCAGCCGTTTCAGCGTGGCAGAGTAACAAATAAACACACACACACACTCACACATGCACGCACGCAAACACACCCATATAAACTTTCGCAATTATAATAGTATTCTTATTTACAATATAACCAAGTATAACTTGATATACTCAAACGTTAAATCTTAATATATGTATGTAAAAAGTATAAGTTTGTTAAAAATGTTAATTTCAATTACGTAATTCGCTTTTTATTGTTTTAATTTTTATATTGCTTAAATGGCAAATAATGAAGTATATTCATACATTTAAAATTAAAAATTAGGTTGAAAATGTGTCCTATTGCAATAGTATTCTGATTAATGATAATGATTTCTGATTAGCTTTATTATTCGAGTGCGTTATCCTTCTAGTATTTATGTTTTTGTATCCATATTTTTCCAACCACAGATTATGTATAAATCTACATTATAACCTCTTCACTTAACGTGTGAAATCAAGCATATTACAGCCCTTTTTTAGAATTAAAAAAAAAACAGAAAGATGTTCTATTTTTATTCAATGTCCAAGAATAGTATAGCAATTTACGAACTTCACTATGTAGTTATTTTCTAACCTGTTTTGCCCTTATGATAGAATTAATAATGTTTAATTATATAAAATATACATGTATTGAAATTAAAATTGTAGATAGGATTCTTATAGTACAGGTGTTCTAATCTTTTAATATTAATATAGTGACCTAGGTGCATTCCCACGAAGATTAGTATATTCACTTATTTCATTTCCTTCTAAGTACTAATTATATTTGAATAAACAAAACTTTCAAGAATGGCAAACGACATTGTATTAGGTGGTTGGTATGCAAGAGACATTCATTACTTACTCGCAATAGAGCTCTTCGAGCGTGTCTGTCTCGTACAGGCGTGTCTGTCCGTCTGTCTGTCGCAGTTGGTGGCCTGAATATAATATTATATTTCAATATTCAATTCAAAACTTTAGTTTCGTGGCTTCTACAAGTACTTCGTGTACTTCGCCATTGTCGTATAGAATGGAGAAGGCTCGTTATATATAAATATTTTAATATTATGTCAAGTAGGACAAAACGTATTGTTTTAAGCAAATATATTTCCACTGCTCTAAATTAAAAGATAATAATAATGTTATAGAGAGAGAAGTCCTGAAAAATCAAGTCCTGAACATAGCTATTATGATCTTAATGCTACCTTTTTTTAAACTAATTTTAGAATGTAACGAAAGATAACCTACGTAGGCATGTATCTGTGGCATGTTCCGTAGGCAGGATGACGTTTCTATATCCTTCCTTAACCAAATCTACTCAGCACCTAAAATTATTGCTGCTGATTAACCTATTAATCAGCAGCAGCATAAAAAGTTACCTAATAAACAGACAGACTAAATTACTTTTACATTTATAATACCTATTTGTATAGATAGTAGGTACGTCAGTGACTATATGCAGTAAACGTGGCATAACATATTATACTGACAAAAATATTCTATGACCTTATCCGGCCTGAAAACTATCGACTTATACAATCACATCATTCTGTAGCTGCGTACAAAAAGACAAAGCAACACATACTTTTTCACATTTATAAATTGTAAAACTTTATAAGAAACTACTTAGGCTAATGCATGATAATATGTAGATTGCATTTTAAATTGTATTTTATCATAAATATTAATGGAATGAGCCCTCTCATAATAAATTGCGTCTGAAAGCTTTATGATAACCAGAATTTTCATTACGTATAACTTATTTTTTCATTGGTTATTGTTATTATGATAACCAGACGCTAAGTTGTTAACTAGTAACTCTATTTCAACTTCGAATATATTACTATGTCATTTATCAATAATATTGCTGTGTCCCTTCTCGTCTCATATGCACGTAGAAAGAGTGTTATCGCTCGTCTATTGCGTAGGTCGTCTATGCAATTCAATATGCGTTCTACTAGTCAGGCAAGTTATAAGGGCTCCAGACGACTGAGTTCGAAGATAGCAATTATATTGGGATATCATAATATTACAACCTAAACATTCCAAGTAACAGCTTTATAAAGTGTTTTCGAATTTTATAAAGTTTTGGATCGGTTTACAATATCTTTCTAAAATATGTGAAGCATATATACATTATGAAGTCTATTTGGTTTGTGAAATTATGATATATAAAATGAAAATGTTCATTTGTAGTAATTATGTAATTGCAGTATTATTCATTGCAAGTTTACGGAAGCCGTGACAGGGCTAGAGACGCGAGCTTTTGCTAATTGGCTGTAACTGATAGATAAGCAATTAAATCAATTGGGAGGACACCGACTGCATCTTCAATTTATGTCGATGTGGATTCGCGATGCGTCGTGGTCCGGCGCCGGCCCCCGCCACCGGGCCTCATATTTATACGCTAAAGCGGGCAGTGCGCAGAGTTCAAACGCGCGTCGGGCGCTCCAAACAGTAGACGATAGAAGAATCGCAACGCGTGGGTAGACGAAGGCGAGTGCAGTGTGCAAGTGCGTGCGGGTCGTGTGTCGCTGAAAGCTCGCGCTGCGAAGCCTCCGAGAGCGGCGTCGCGCGAGCGCCCGTCGCGTTAGTGCCGGCCCGGCCGTGCCGTAGACATCACGCTCCGATATACAACACCTACTGTTTACTTCTACTTTACTGATACTTGGACAGTGACATACACTGTAACGAATACAATATCCGACTTCGAATCGCCTGCAGAACGTGTACGCGGAGTTTTTGCATTTGGAAGGGAGGTGAGTCTAAATTTTGTAAACAATAAATGTTAAATAAAAATATTTTTTCGTCGTTACATTAATAAAAATACCTTTGTATATAATATTCAATTTTAAGATTTAATTAAGAACCTAAATGAGTAGTCATGCATAAGCATTGCTCACTTATCTGAAAAGCCGGTTCGGAAGCTTTTCTTCCTCCACCGTTGATTAGTATGAATAAGTTGAGCTTTTTGTAGTTTTTAAATAGTTTAAGTAATTTCAATGTCTACTTAAAAAAAAATTAAATTTTTTATGTAACCTAAGGTTTATGCTAGAATTACCTTAAAGCTATAAATAAAATTGCAAACGCTATAAATATAAATATGTTTCACAATACTCTAGTATTGACTAACCGCTTAGTAGAAATATATTAGAAATTACATATTAATTCAAAATTATTATACACTACATTTTTATATCAATTAACATCTTATCTTAAACGTTATTTTGAAGCATAAAAATATTTTAAACAAATTATATTACTGTGGCTAACGGCTTAAAAATGGCATAAGCATCAAAAAATAATTATTGTACCTGATACTATCGATTGGCGGGAACCACGATTATTCCAATATAAATGAATAATGCATGATTTAAGAAATGGTAAATAGGTTTCAACGAGCGAATATTCGCGTGATATCTAGATAACGCGTGCCGAGAACGACCGTGGCAAATTCAATATTACACAGTCACCATCTAATTGTTTAAGATTACACCTAAAAAGTATTCAGTTATTTACTTAACATTAGTAATATAAATTTTGCTGAAGAATAAATAATATAGAACGGTAACAAATTAATATGTAAATAGATTCATTTTTTTATTATCTAAATATTAAAAGCTCAGTGTTATATAACAAAAATCTACAATTATTAGTAAAAAGTACCATCGGATTAAATTCTACATCTTGTTGCACGCTACGTATCTAAATATATATTCAGCTTGGGCAATAGAGCTTTTCTTTATTACTATACTGTATTATTATGAGGTATGTAAATAAAATTAATTTAACACAAGAACGCGTATCGAATGCCATCCTGTCAAGTTTTAGTTTTTCTCCCTTCGCTAGTTTTTGTTGACCAATACATCAATACAAAAGCTAAGCACGGAATAAGCAATATTTTTGAGATAAAATGTCCATACCTAGAGTTAGAGTTGAAATTAAATAATTCGTAACTATGATCATTTTGTTATTCCATTTTCACAATAGAAATTAGATAGGTATAGGACAGGATTTGAGGCACCTATGTAAGAAAAGTCATTGATTGACTGAATTTAAAAATAAAAATGATAATTTTTAATGAAATTTCTCTTTTATATAAAAACAAATTCTAAAGTTTAAATCGAGTTTCATTGTTGAGAAACTTTAATAAATCTAAAGTTTCTTTATCTTTTTGTATAAAATATTTGCAATAAAAAATTGGCACAGTTAATTATATACCATCACAAAATAGATTTAATGTACAAGAACTCCGTGGACAGCTAGCGAAACGACGCTTTGCATCGCTTCAATGCGCAAAGCTCGGAGTTCAAGTGCGGGGTGAAGGTTCCATTGTTGCCCTTCGTCGTACCAGCCCTTACCCCTGAGATGGGTTTAGGGTGTTATTTCACATATTCGTATCGCAAGATTTTTTTGAAACTTTCCATTTGGTTCTGGTTATTTTTCTGTAATATTAAAACTATACTGGGTAATCCAAAAACAAGATTTTAAAATAAATTATAGCAAATTTAGTAGGAAAATATAATGAAAATGAGTAGAGAAATTTAGATAGAAAATCTATTAATAAAATCTATTTTTTAATTATTATTATATTTTATATAATATTTGAATTCAATTTTTCTTAAATATTTCCATCTTTATGTTTTATCATGTAAAGTAGAATTAAAAAAAATAATAGTACGAGAATATTTTTATGCTAGAACTACCATTCAGTAACTTATTACTGGTGTGACTAACGAGTATTGTCTTGAATAATTATGAGATAAACCATTTAGTTATAGCATAAACTCAGTAGATGTGATAAGCATTACATGATTGTCTTTTGTTTCGATTAATCTTATAGAAAATTTAAAATATATTGTGAAATATTAATATACAGATAGACAGTTCAATAACAAATGTAAAAAATTAGAGGGATTTCCAATGTTTTATTATTAAAAGTTTTTTTTTACTTGAAAGGTGTTACCAACTTTTGTTACTAACTTTTTCCACTTGCAAAATTAGTTGTATTCAAATATATTTGTCTGGCAAGGTTAAAAACTTCCTGTTCCTTTGTTTTGTCTAAGTACATATTTCGTTTTTAGACTACGGAATCACGCTTAGTTGACAGGAGCTAAGTGGCTGGATGACGCTGTTTTCTTAACGGCCCTGATGTTTAGTAGTTTTTTTTATATTTAAATACAAAAACACAAGGCTAAGGTTAGCATTTGTTATTCACGGAGAACATCAAATATACTTTCGATCGTTCACACAATACCTAAATCTTTATTGGTTTTCAATTTTGATCATAATCGATTTGTTTCACTAGAGAGAGGCAATGTTTGTTATCTTAAACATTGACCTCGGTTAGAGCCTTGCATTTTATGCAGTAAATGAAAGAGTGATATAAAACTAAGCTTTTTAAAGCTTAGAACTTTAAACAACTGCACAATTGCGCATTAATGAAAGCGCACGTCAATATGCGCGCGCAGAGTCTCGGCGTGACAGAATGCGCTCGCGGCGCGTCGCCGGCACTCTGGACACGCGCCGCCGCCGTTTCCTGAGAAAATGGCAACTTATGGGGAACTAAATCTGGGACTCTCGTGTGTCAATGACCTATTTCATATAGAAAGTATAATATTAATTTTTATATTTTTTTTTGAGTTGTTAAAAAGTTACCTGCCTATTTTGCTTGCAAGAAATAAATCAAATATAACAAATATAAATATAGGTATATAATATTGAAAATGCTAAGTAAATCCACTCACAATACATGATGATGTCAATTTACACACCGGCAAAGAGCGTAGACCGTTACAATATCACAAAAATGTTGCAAAAAGCTTATAAACCGTTTTGTGTTTCACTTGTATATAGTCATTTTGAAACGTGACTTGGAATTCATGGTTTCAATGAAATTTATCAACAATGGTCAGTAATCGCATACAATTATATAACAATCTTTATATTATTTTTCTGAAGGGATTTGGCGTTGCTAGCTGTAATACAGGTTTCCTAGTTCAGCTACATATGCTTCATTCACCTAATAGCGATATTGTTTATTTGGCTAAATTATTTTGTAAAAACTTGTAAAAAAATTTTGGATAGTAAAATTATTATTATTATAGTCTATATAAATGGTTGGACTGCAAATAAATATTAGATACTAGAATAAAATTATCACTTCGACAGCCAACTGTCTCGAATCAAGATACCTACTTTTAATTTAGTTACTCAATTATAATTGTTTTTACACGTCAATAGTTTAACAATAAAATGAAACATTTCAAAAATGCAAGTCTTGTTGGGAAACCATAGTTTCCATTCTTGGACTTCATGGTTATTGGAAGCCGACGAAGAGAATTCTGGCGACGTGTGTGTAAGAAACCTCGGTGCGGTTTGCCACATGAATATCAATACCAGAATATAGTCAAGTCGCAATGTTGCCCACAATGACCGATAAAAGAGAAACACACAAATATAACCCTACTTAAGTCTGTTTAAAATTCACATTCACTACTCTCCAACGCGGCGTGCTACAAAAAGGAATGTAGGTTATGATGTTATTTAGCCCGAATTTTTTGCTGGTCTAAGTTTTTTATTAAAATATTATCTCCTTTCATGTCAATCAGATCTGTATAAGGCGTGAAAGTACTGACGTCATTGTGCCAAATATCGTGTTGTTAATTGGTTATTACCACCGGATATCAAGTGAACTTTTAACAAATAATCGCGGGAATCATGTTACCTACTTAGAAAATTAATCGAAGTTAACAAAAGTACAACTTCGTAATTTTATAATCATATATGAATGCAATCTATATAAAAAATATGAATACAATGAATTGGTAACGGTGACTAAGTTTTTACGATGAAATTATTTTTAAAATATTGAAGTTTTTTTAAACCCTCCACGACCGCGGACACGCCGGCGTTACAGTTAACAATAAATTTCTTAGAAATTTAATTAATTTCTTAGAAATTTACCTGGAGGTTTTTACAAGCGCAAACAGTTTTCTATTGAAATGAAAAATGATTGGCTAGTTTAAAATATTTTATTAATTTACTAGTAACTTTAACTTTGTCTATGTAGATCAAGTTAGAACTTAAATATTATAATTCTTATAATATAATATATTTGTAATGATATAAAGATATCGTTGGTGGCTCTATTTTTAACATATAAGTAGGTATTAACCCTATAAGAGGATTAAAGTTGTTATAAACAATGCAGTAGCCAGTAAGTAAAGCTCGCCAGTAGCTAGGTATGTTATCACTGCGCCATAATAGTTTTATAGAGGATTTACAATTTTATTACTTAAATATTCCTTTCTTGCAATTTAAATCCAGCATAAATATGTTATTTTGACTAGTTTACTGGGCAATACAGAATATATAATGAAAATCACATAAGATGATTTAAACTTATATTAAGATTTACAGTGACATAAAACTATCACAGTACGGCGTTCATTTCTAAAGAGATCCAAGCATTATAAAAGCACCCACTCAAATAGGCTTAAGAGTAATAATTGTAATAATACTTTATAACTGTAATTGCATAAAAGTTTATTCATTTCACAAGAGCTAACCAAGCTTTGTTACGTGTAATTATACACTATAATTTATTGCCTTGAATACCTTTCTTACTATGGTATTTACAGTTAGGCCCGACTTATCATTTACCTCATCACTAAAGAGCTCTTCAGGCCAGACCTGTGGCACCCACACTCTAAATAATAAAACAAATAGATATGTCCACTTTAACATTTACCAAGTC